CGGCGGGAGGCGGCGGCGGCGGCGGCGGCGCGGAGGCGGCGGCGGCGGCTAGGGTTAGGACCTTGCTGCGATAGATACCATGTAGAGAGATAGGTTATGGGCTGTGCAATCGCGATATATTGATCGGTGCACCAGGCACGTATATATAAGTACAGAGGTGGGCCACAACTTCAACTATACAAGGAAACAGGAGGTGGGCCCTACACACACATATACACGTACACAATATACTCAACAATCTCCATGTCAATGTGGTAAGTCCGTCACTCTGGCCATTACTTTCCTGATCCAGCACGTTAGGGAGACCTAACTTTCAGCTCAGCTACTCCAATCCCTTCTTATCTACTCCCTCTATCTCATAATATAAGAGCGTTTTTGACATTACACTAGTGTCAAAAACATTCTTATTATGAGATGGAGGGAGTATTTTTGTTTCAGACAAGAAGATAACACTGTGGTCCTCCTTCTCTTGGACATCCAGGAGACCTCAAATTGTCGGGCTATTCCCCAAACCCCGCAATTCCATGCCACTAGGCTCATTGATTCTCACGGGACCTGTCCCACACAGCCCCACATTCTTTGCTTTGCTCACCTGCTCATCTCCCTTCTGTCTCTTCCCCTGGCCTCATGTCAACTCAGCATCCATGTCCCGCCTCTGATGGCCTTTGGCCTATGGAGGTGCGGAGGATCTCGGCCCCCCGCCGGCGGGAGGGACCTCGTTCTCGTTTTTGCTAGGTTGAACGTCTTGGTTGGGGCCGTGTGGCGGCGACGATGTTCCTCTGTAGCAATAATGTCTCCCACCTCCTATCTCTGCCCCGATGGTGCGAATAGCGTTGTCGGAGGATGTGTGGGGTGTGTGTCTCCGTCGGATCTCATAGGATTCGATCGGTGCTGGTCTTTGATGGATCTCTTTGGATCCAGTTTTTGTCCGTCTTCGTTCGTGTGGTTCCAGGTTTGATCTTTCCAATCTACAACTCTCTTCATCGGCGATGGTTGCTGCTCTGGTGTGTTGGTCCTTTTGGGCCTTAGCACGACGATTTCCCGATTGTCTACTACAACAAGGTTTGCCCGACTCCGATGATGGAGGAGCGATGACGGCGGCGCGCCTTCGGCTCGCTCCAGTGCTTATAGTCGTCGCTAGGTGGTCCATAGACCTAGTTGTAATTTTTATTACCTCTTGTGTTCTCTGTACTGCCATGATTGATGAATAGATTGGAAATTTCTCTTGCAAAAAAAAAACTCAGCATCCATGTCCATTGCTTCATGCCAGGTTTTGAACCAAGCTCCACACCCAAACTCTCCCTAGGAACCGTATTTTCTCTTGGAGTGCGTTTGTACACCCCCACCATCTTCTCAAGCCCCTCTTCTCCAACAGCTCTTTCTCCCGAGCTCCACCACAACTTTCCCACGTATATAGAATATAGTACTATGTGGGTATGTAGAATTAGATTAGTCTATTTTTAAAATAAAATATGGACTTTATTCAACCGAAATAACAGACACATCGTTTGTGAGGAAAGGTACAGTTTCGATCATAGGCTCCTCAAACCAATCAACTGCAGAAGAAAATCTAGCCAACCTAGCAATCTCGTGCGTAACCTTATTGGCTTCCCTATTACAATGTTAAACCAAGATATAGAAAAATCACATGCCAAAAAATAGCAATCATCAAAAATTGCCGCCGCCGCTCCGGCCGACCGTCCGCCATTATTCATAGTTTTGATAACCTCCAAATTATCAGAATTAATTACAAGGCGATTGCATCCCGCCCGTTGTGCTAGTGACAGACCAAATCTGAGAGTCCAAGCTTCCGTTGTTAGAACCTCGACGCAATGATCTATTTTCCAAAGACCGCCTGCAATAAAATTTTAAGAAAAAGGGTTTCCTCCCGCTTTAGATTATAAAGCACTGTCCAATCGATACAACCAGCTTGCTGGGACCTCAGCACAAACAAGCCCAAAAGAAAAAGGAGAGAAAGAAAAAAGAAACAAATGCCGACGCCGGCAGCTCAACTAAGCAAAGATGACCGACACCCGCTGCACCCACCGAAGAAGAATCACAGCCCGCCAAGCACTCCGAAGCCTCGCGTACCAAGCAACATCTTCAGGAAGAAATGCGACGATGACGCCGCCGCTGCCCGGACAAGTCCTAGGGTTTCCCCCGGCACGCGGATAGCAATGGCGAAGGGGGTATCACCGACGCCCCTCAGGAGGGTCCGGCAACGCCCACGAGCGTAGCCGCGTCGGTGACGAACGAGCCGCCAGATGTTTCTCCCACCCTGAAGCCACCAACGCCACCTCAGACAATCGGAAGCGCACCGCCCAACAAGCCGCCCACCAGCCTGTGCCACCACGGATATCACACCATCTCCACCGTTTCACTGAGGCCACCAACACGAGACCTGGAGGTGGGACGAGAAGACACCGGGCACGGAGGCAACCGCACCGCAGCCGACAGGAGGGAACAACCTCCACCACCGCGCGGAGCCGACCGGACATGGCAATAGGGACTTGCCTGGCCACCACTAGCCCGGCCGGACCCCAACGGGTCCGAACAGTCCCTGTAGCCACGCTGCAGCACGCCGGCCGCCGAAGCCACCACCACCGCAGCCACGGCCCCCTCGTCCCACCACCAGGGAGCCACGCCGTCGCGCACCAGACCGCAGGCCCGCCCCAGCCCAGATGGGGCCCAAAAGGGCCCAGATCTGGGCCGAGCGGGCGCCGCCGGCCAGCCGCCCACCGCGCCGCCCCGCAGCCAACGGCCACGCCGCCGCGTCGAGGGCACCCGAGGCCCGCAGGACGCTGCCGCCGAGCCTCACCGCTGCTAGCCGAGCAGCACCGCCGCCAGGGAGGAAGGAGCCCCGACTCTCCCTCCCGGCGCGCGGGGAAGGGACGTCCGCCGCCGCCGGCTCCACCCGGACATGCCGGAGGCCGCAGCCGGTGGCGGCGAAGGGGGATGGGGGAGGAGGAGGACCGAGACAAGGGGAGGGCAGGGGGCGCTCCGCCGCCTCGGGGGCCGGCAGGAGCGCAGGGGGAGGGAGAGGGGGATGGGCAGAGGAAGGGGACCGGGGGGCGCGCGCGAGGCGGCCGGCGCCGGCGGGAGGGGGCGAGGGAGGCCGCCGGCGGCGGGGCGGAACCCTAGCGCGGGTCGCGGGTCCGCCTGCAATAAAATTCCCTTTATCGTTCCTTAGGACTGCCCCAACCGTATCTTTAAAAAGATCATGATCAAAAGAAGTATCAACATTAAGTTTCACGTATCCTAACAGGGGACGAGTCCATCTACCCCTTTACATAGAAGCCTTTGGACCGGAGGCACCAACGTAATTAGCCGTAAGAGCTTGTATCCCCATTGAAACCTATTTAGCATCTTGAATTTTCTTTTTGCGCACTAGTTTACGTCTTTTCCACCACAAATACCAAGACGCAATAACAATCATCTTCCGAATATTTTGAGACCCCATAATAGATAAAACTTTTTCAGGCATGTGTAACAAAAATTCGAGAACTGTCTCTTCAGCACGATCAACTTCACAAGCTTTAACAATAATCTCGTCTAAACCAAGCCTTCTCCAGACTTCCTTAGCCTTCTAACACTAAAGCAACATATGCTTTGTGTCTTCTAAACCCGAAGCACAAGAGGGGCACAAAGGTGAAACTTTCATGTGTTTATTGACGAGCGTAACACGATATGTGTCTATTTTCTTAGAATAAGATAGGTGTTTCTCCCTAGCCACTCGCATTTTAGGACGTCCATTGTTGGCAATATGGTTTAGGACATCCATTGCAGTCTGAATGGTTGTCTCGTAAGGTTAGTCCTAAAATAGCAGTGGCCACCAATCCATGTCAAAAATAGTACCTCCCATCCTCTGGTGGGTACATAAACACGTACGCGCCAACCCGCAAAACAGAAAGAAATTAGTGCAAACAAATCTCACATTAGTTCCGTTAACCGACCATGCACGCCGATCAGCTATTACCGGCGGTCGTCGCCGCGGTGGCCATGGCTTGCCTGCTCATCGCCGGCCGGGCCGACGGCCTCGAGGAGTACGCCCCTTCTGCCGCGGTGAGCCTGGAGATTGAGCCGCTGTCCATGAACCAGAACCCCGGGGAGTTCCTCCCGCGACCGGAGGTGATGTCGCTGCCGACCGATCTGCTCTCAAGGCCAGACGTGGGTGGCGACGGTGAGGGGTACGTCCCGCAGGTGGAGGTTGTGCCAGAGGTGGTGCTGCAGCCCGGAGACCCCCTCGCCGAGGCTCTCGGCGGTGGCTCGTATGCAGAGGAGCCATCGACAGAGCCGGTCACGCTCATGGGCGAGCAGGGCGACATCTACCGCACCGGTGCGACACCGAGCCCAGCACAGCCGCCGGCGAAGCCGTCTTCCCCTGGCCAGAAGAAGGCTGGTTAAGAATACTAATCCAAAGGGACGCTAGCCTATGATCCCGTTGCTCTTCCCTTAGCAAGTTTGTTTCCTGTTGCAGAAAAATAAGGGGCCATGCATGCAACGTGTGCATGTGCACGTCTTGGCCGAGAGATTGTTTTACTTACCTTAGTGGTTTTATTTGGATGTCAAGAATCAGACGTGAGTTTTAAGAAAAGGAATTAAGAACCGGCGAACGTTCTACCGAATTGCTACAGATCAGAACACCTCAATAATTGTTCGTAGTTGTTTATTTCCTCCTTTCTTTCCTAACTAAGCTTGCTTGGCTACGAAGGGAGAAACAATTGGTTTTGGCTTCATGGACCGAGAGAAACAACGTTGGGTCCAAGGACTCGATACACCACGATGGGCCAACACGTCTTGTCAATAGAAGTCGCAGTATTCGGCGTCCATACCACAAAGTGTTCTGCGGCGGCTGCTCTTACTTCCTCCATTCCAAAATATAGTGCACCCGCGCTTTCCGAGGTTCAACTTTGACCATAAATTTAACCAACGAGACCAACTGCGGTGGGAGAAAAAATTATATAATTAAAAACTTCTTTCGAATACGAATTCACTGATATAATTTTTGCTCCCGCCGCAATCGGTCTTGATAGTTAAATTTACGGTCAAAGTTGAAGCAGGGGGATAGAGGAAGCACTACATTGTGGAATGGAGGGAGTAATAAATAGCTAGCCAAAATTAGGGCTTAGACTTGGGTTTTGTTTACAGAAATTTATCTAATGCTACTTTTATTTGTCTTCACTCGTAGCGACTAGTGCGACCGTCAGGACATTCTATCAAAACCCTGGCGTCCTTTCGGGGACATTCGATATCGGAACCCTGACTTATGAGATTTATACATCTAGCATATCCGCAATTTTTAGATTGCTTGGCTATTATTTTCTTGCATTTTATTCGATTTGCTTGCAGGAAAAATCCTTCGTGGATAGGTCGATCATGCCGTTGACTTGGTCCATAACACCCTGGAGTTAGTTCAGCGATTATCATGGATATCACTCGTATATGATTCTCTCTGTACGGTTGGTAGCCGGATCATGAGGGTCAAATCCTCGAAAAATTGTAGTTATCTCTCTCTCTCTCTCACCGAAAGACCGGGCCCCAATTCACATCACGTAGAGGCCGCATCGCCTTGGGATGGTGCTACGCCAAAGAGTGACCTATATGCAGGCGACGCCATGGACCTATACGCCAAAAACCTTCCCGGTGTGATGGGTGCACCTTACTTGATTGGATGACAAGTCTATGGCAGTCCTCTTTATCAGGGGACATCTCCAGGTGAACTTGTGGAGAGATGATCGTGGTGGTTGCGTCGCCTTGCCTCAACTGAACGCTGTATTGGTTGGTCTGCCAAGACAAAGGCGCCTCTTAACAGGGTCGATGAAGGGTGGCGTCATAGGGGCACGTCGCCTTGGCAGGTGCTACGCCAAAGGGTGACATGTACGCCGGTGAACTGTTCACCATACGCCTGTCTTGGGCTACGTCGTCGCAAGCTCCGGTTCCACCATGACATCTCCTCCGGGAAGCAAGACACCCGACCCATCCACCTGAACAGAAAGCCATGGACCTGTGCACCGAAGAGAGATACCTGTTCGCCATTGACTTGTCTTGGGAAGATCCGGCGACGAGTTGGGTCGTTGGTGAGGGCCGACCACGCCTATGCCGCGGTACCTAAATGAGACCAATCGACTCGACGGTAGGCGGCCTTCTGGAGGCGATAGACTTTCCCCTGCTACAGTGCCTAAGCGGTGATGTTTTGGCGATATGCCGGCAACTGGCGACATGCCGTATTTTCTTCATCCCGATCCCTTCTGTTTCTCCCTCTTTCAATCTTCCTTAGGTCCAGCTTCAATCTCACTGATCTTCCTCTTCCAATCTTCTCTTTTCACCCTGTTCTTTTGGCTTGTTCCTGTTGTTCTGGGGATTTTCCATGTCCTTCCTTTTTTCTTCCTAGTTCCTACCCGAGCTGATCTTCTCTGCTCTTCGCACTAGTAGAAAATGGGCCTATTGTCCCGGTTCGTAAGGGCCTTTTGTCCCAGTTCCTGAACCGGGACTAAAGGGTCGATACTAATTTAGTCCAGAACCGGGACAGATGGGCCTCCACATGGCCTGTGCGTGGAGCCCAGGCAGGAGGGCCTTTGGTCCTGGTTGGTGGCACCAACCGGGACCAATAGGCATCCACGCGTCAACATTTCTGTGGCTGGGTTTTTTGTTTTTTTAAAGGGGGGGTTTGGGGGTTTTAGGGGGGTTAATTTAGGTGTTTCATATATTGTGTTAGCTAGCTATAATTAATAGAGAGAAGTGTCCTTTCTTATGTCCGTGTTTGGTCGACGCTACGTACTATATATACGTATAGAGAGGACTAGACACGCTAGCTAGCTACTCCCTCGGTTCCGAATTACTTGTCTTGGATTTGTCTATATACAGATGTATCTAGACTCATTTTAGTGCTAGATACCTCCGTATCTAGACAAATCTAAGACAAGTAATTCGGAACGGAGGGAGTAGTAAGCAAAAGAAGGAAACAGAAGATCGTCATGAACATATATGCATATAGAGAGAAGTGATAGCGACCACCTCTCCTTCTCTGAGAGATTGGTCGAGCAACAAGTTCCCGTATATCTATCCGACACTACCGGCTACATATATACAATAATTATCTCTTACAAATATAATCTTCTAACATACGGACGCATGGTCCACATAGTATTCTCCGTCTTCAGCAATCATGTGGTCAAGAAAGAATGCCGCCAATTCCTCTTGAATTGCTCGCATGCGAGCTGGTGCTAGGAGTTCATCCCGCTTCTGAAACATCTAATTTGAAGAAGGGGGTCAATACATATATATATGAATGAATGAAACTCAACACAAATGATGGTAATAAAATAAAATTGTGAATATTTTTATTTACGCACTTCATATTGTTCGTTAGAGTAGCCCCGCTCACAGGTCGTGTGGCAGATGGACTCGCAAACGTAGTATCCACAGAAATCATTCCCTTATTCCTGCCACAACCACTTTACAAGAAATAGAGGTCAATCAAACTGATAAGCAAGAATGCCAAATGGTATTGATGAAACTAGCGCTTGAATCACTAGGAGATGCGCGGAACATGCTACTATAGTACTTACTTTCGGGTGTCTAAATTCCAGCTTCTTCGGCAGTCCCGGAGCTTTTTTGGTGAATTTTCTCCAAACCCTGCCAGACAAAGAAAACAATTACTTGATATCAGAAATGAACAAAGTTGCTGGTATGGTGGATAATGATCGATTTAACTTACTTCTCGAGCATTTGAGTCATGTCCGCATAGTCCTGGGGATCTTTTCATCTCGAGTCCAAGACAGTTACTACTCCCTGCTCAAGCTTAATCTCTAGGAGAATATAGTGGAAGCTGCGCACGCATGCATAACTCATCAATTACATTACTATAACCTTGACTAATATATAAGGGAAATCGAATATGCACAAGACAGTAACACTCACTTGAAGTTGTAAGGAAAGAGTATTATATCTTTGTTTTCATTTATTACCAACGATCGTAGCAAGTTGGCCTCGGTATCTGCGGCATGAAATTTAACCTTAGTTGCATCTATGAGATTTGTGTTAATGAACCCAATATCACCGATTTGTCTTTTCTTCAATTCGACGATCTTCAATCTGCATAATATAGTGAGGATAATTATAAATACATGCAATGAAAGAGCTGAGCTATATAGAGAGACTTAATGACAGGAGTAGTACTACTTAGAGACAGTAGCAGGTGACTGTTGCTTTATCGAGGGCCAATTGATTGAAAAACTGAAAGAACTCCTCAAATGGAACAGGCAAGAGTTCAATTCCAACGAGGTCATGCTCCTTTTTAACTCTCACATACAAAGTATTCCTCCCCCCGAGACTCTCTGCAGATTTTCAAGTACCAATCATGCAATCTTCGCATCATCATTGATAGAGATCTTTCATCTTTGATGAGAGGCTTCCCGTACTCGTATCTTTGTATCTGTACCTCCAAGAAATCATAATGTACATCGTCGGGCAGGTAATCTCCAAGATTGATATAACTGGGCACCATCCTCAGATCATTAGTGACGATGTCGCTAGGCACCTTGAGCGGGGGGAATTATTGCTTCGCTTGTTCGCCGAGTTGGGCAATTTGTTTCCCAGCTCGTCGTTCTTTCATCCTTTGATTACTGACAGTACTTCCCGACCGCTCCGCTTCGGCAAATGCCTTTCCAATAATGCGCTCATAGTTGCCTTTCGGCGGAGACTTGGGTGGTTTTGTCAGGGCAGCCAGAGTGCGCTTCACTTTCATCGGATCTACCTTCTCCTCCGAAGGTGGATGTTTCTTTTCTTTCACCCCTTCAAAGAAGTTCCTCACTTCTTCTCGCGCAATCTCGACGTTCTCCTCCGGGGTCCTCTAGTATGGTAACTTCTCTGGTGTCTTCAGAGAAGGACCGAATCTGTATGTCCTCCCGCCTCTGGTTGTACTGCTAGACGCCGGCAGAGCAGACGGAGCGGTTGTATTCTGTACTTGCTTACGAGGCGGAGGAGAAGGACTACGACGCGCCGGAGCAGCCGGAGCGGCGGCGGGTCTCTTCCGCCCTTGCTGACGAGGTGGAGAAGGAGGAGGCTGGCTGCTCGAGCGCGCCGGCGCAGGCGGAGAAGGAGGCAGAGTGCCGCCATGCGCCGGAGAAGGAGCCGGCCGAGTGCCCTGATCGTCACTCGCCGGAGGAGGAGACGGTGGAGGAGGTGGAGTGCCCTGACTCACCAGAGGAGGAGAAGGAGGCGGAGGCGTCCAGTTCGGAAGGTTGATGAGCTCCTTTCGCCATAGGCATGGAGTCTTCAGAGCAGAACCCAACCGAGTCTCCCCTTCACCTGTAGGGTGGTCAAGCTGGAGGTCCTCAAATCCGTTCGTTATTTCATCCACCATCACCCTAGCATATCCTTCTGGAATCGGCCGGCAGTGAAAA